TGGAAATGTATTCATGTTGGCAACAGGATATGAAAAATATTGAAATTTAGATGTTAGAGACAGAAAAGGCATGCGAGACCACTTAGTTCATTTCCTGTCCATGGCAGGATTGTAGATTCCCCCTGGCACATTTTCTAGTATCTTGCCAGAGTGGATTTTAAATGTTTTTAAAAAAGAAAAGATAATTTCCATCATTTCCCTTGGCTGTCTTCTCCACTGCCTAATGCATCTCACTGTCAGGAAGACACTCAGAATATATGTACTCATACTAGTGCTTGACAAGAGACCTAAAGTAGCAGTTTCACCAATAGAGAGATCCTGCCTGGATGTTGCAAGAGAGGCCAAATTTTGCGGAGACAATAGGGAAGTGTCAGGTAACTCTACGAAATGGAAATCATGCAACTCTTTGGAAAAATGGCATAACTTAGAATGAAATCATCTCCTTGGCCACTGGATGTCAGCCTTGAACCATATTTTATTTGAATATTTTTAAATGAAACAACAGAGCCCACTTAATATAATGGTCCAGAGCCTTAGTTTGCAAGAATTGATGTAGCTCTATAGATAAGTATGCCTCTATTACTAAAAATATCAGTAGTCCACTTGGGCAGTTTATTATTCTTCTTTGATTAATGGAAAACTCATGCAAACCTATTGTAGCCTTCCAATGTGATGTGAGAACAGTTGATAAGGCTGTTGACTTGATTATGGCTTTCACTTTTTGAGGTTTTGTTGAACCTGTTTTCCAGGTTTGTGTATCCAAGTGAATTGAAACCCAGGAAAAACCCAGGAAAAAGGTTGGCAAGAATCAGAACTGCCAAGCATCCCACAGTGTTGTGTGTGAGATCTATCTTGGTACCGCTGTTGCTCATGTCATAAAGCAAAACCTTCATGATTAGAGATGGGAAGCCCCAATTTCTTCAGGGCTCTAAGGACAGAAAGGCAGACAGGTAGCATTTAGTGTTTCCCCCATCATTTACACGTACAAATTTTCTTCAGAGGCAGGAACATCAGCCGGGGCATAAATACACAGACAGGTTCAATAGTTAACATGCCTGGTTTCCTTCCTTCTTTCTCACCTTCCAAAAGCATCCACCTCCAAAAATTGCCTGGCCTTTCACACGAACAGTACTGTGCCTTTCTATGATGTTTGGTGTTTCTAGCACTTTAGCAGATGAGGTACAAAGAGAGAAAGGAAAATTTTGTACCCCGTCCTGCCTTTCACATGGGTTGCCAGAATCTATGAAAGAGCTGAAGCGTCTCTTTGAAGGTGCATTCATCTTGCCACAGTCACTAGACCAGAAAGGAAAAAAGAAAGAGAAGCAGGGTTTTGGAGAGAGACAAATGGAAGAGGAATTGTCTGAAAGGAATTAAAAATCAAAGGTAATGCACAGAGCAACTGCCTTTCACATTGTCATCTACTCTCTCTGTCTCAATCACGGCTTCAAGCTCTTTTATATCCTTTATTCACTAGCTCTTTCCCAAGCTTTATTGGGCTTTTCTGTCAGCATAAATCCACAGCTACCTACAGGGAATAAGATGCTCTTCCCCATCCCTGCTTTTCTTTTGCTACCATCTGATCAGAGGTCCCCTCCTCCCCACTAACTCTTTTAGGACTTCTATATTCTGTCTTTGTTCATCTCAAGGCCAACCAGAAATACATTTTAAAAAAATTAGTATTCAGTTCTGAACAGACACAGGTCACTGCTCAAATTGTGAGCTCAGTTCTGTTGCTGAAAATCTGAGTCTATTCTTCTGACTGCAAGTGTAGTTACCGGGGTGTAACTTGAATCATATTTTGGCCCTGAGTGCTCTTCCATGGTTTCTCCAGCACAGCATGCCAATCTCTAGAGAGGTGTGGATTTTTCCCCACACTTCCAACATAAAATAATTTCTGTTTCCTGTATTCAGATTGCTTTCTTCATTAAATGTACAAGAGCATGCATCAGTCCAGATCTCTTTCTGAAAACAATGCTCTACCCAAACCTGTGTGCCTTTTACACACAGCACTGTGCATTTTCAATGTTGGCCTGCCTGATAGCTGCAGTCAGCAGCTGACATTCAAGGTCTCCAAGATGAGACTTTAAAATTCACTCTACTTTCAGCCCAGCACATACATGCACTGAACCCCAGCCATGTACTACTGTTCTCAGTGGTATTCCGGCTGCAGCATCCCAAGGCAGCTTGAACATCTTAGGGCACATGTAAACATTCACTTTAATGTGCATTAGCCTATTTTAATGCGCATTAAAGTGTCACTAAAAAAAGTGCTCTTTAGTTAATGCTCATTAAGGCAGGCTAATGCACACTTTCTTAGTGTCTCACAATGGAGGTACTAGATTTAATGCACATTAACAAGCACCTTAATGCATGTGTAGATGTGCCCTTAAAGACTGTGTGTGTGGAAAAGCTTCTCTGTCTTTTCCTGTTGTCCAAGACATATTCCTTCCAGTCTGCTGAACAGTGTGCAATGTGGGGAGTGGGGGAAAATAAACTCGGCAAACACCCTTCCTTTGGCTCATCTAGAGCCACTGATGGCGCTAGGATGCCACTTCATGCGGCAGCTTTGCCCCTTCTTCCCTCAGGCCCCATAAAACTGTATATCTTGCTGGTAAGTTCAAAATGGAACAATTTCAAGTGGGGGATTGAGACTGTCCCATGAAAGAGGCTGGTGGCTGGGTTTGAATTCCTGCAAGTAGAGGAAGTAAGCTGAGCCATACTTTGGGTGCCAGCAATAAACACAGAGCACTCGGGTAGTAGCATTGCTTCCAGATGCAATTTGAAAGAAAATGGGGGCTTCTGCTTCATTTGGTGCAGCACCCTCTCCCTCTAGGAATACCAATTAGATAAGCAGAAGAATGCTTAGGCTGTGGACTCTCACAGAAATTAGATGTGAGTGTATTACCAAGCTGCTCATCACCATCATGACTGAGTTTCTTCTAAATCTGCCCAGAAGACGACCTTTAGATGCCTGGGACATTATAACAGCATGTTTAGCTGCCTTCAGACTCTAATCATGTCCAAAGTGAGTTGAGAGCAGAGTGAGGTATTTGAAGATCTGTAGCTTAAATTTAAATCCTTTTTAAAAAGGAGCTGGAAGGGGTGACCTCCTGTGGTCCCTTTCAGCCTTATTTTTCTATAACCTAGTGCCATCCAAGGTATCTCAGTTTCAGGTCAGTGGCTACAGAAGCAGAAGTGAGACGTAAGGCTTGCCTGTCCTTCCTGTGACAAGTTCTAGGAGGGTCTCTGGGCATTTCTCCTGGATTATGGGGCAACAGAGCATGCTTTATTTTGCTCCCAAACAACCAAGGACACTTAGAGGTGAGGCTTTTAAGGTCGGAGTACATGGATATGAATCCTATAATTTGCTGTGAGTAGATACCCAAAGCTCTCAAGCTGGTATGTTTTACTTCTTTGCATTAGAATCCTCAGATGCTAGGAGGTGACCGTGGCCCATTTTAAACCCAAACTTCTCCAACTCTGACACATTCATTCTGGCTCCTGATGTTTGTCATTTATCCTTAAGCCCCAGGTCACAGTCATGAAACTGCATGAGAATTTCAGTTTTCATTCAAAACACTCAAGGCCAACTCTGTTGGCTTTAAAGCTTGAAAAGACAACTTGTTCCAAAAAGTTCAGAAACCAGGAGTCAAAAAAAGCCCATCTCACACACAAAATGGGTTTTGTTTTCAAGAACAAAACCCAAAAAGACAAAAAACCAGAACAACCCCCCCCCCCACCCCCCCCACCCTCACCCGT